TTCCTTCCTTCCTTCCTTCCTTCCCTCCCAGTGGTTAGAATGCAGTATTGCAGACTAATTCTGCTGACTGCCAGCAGTTCAATCCTGACCAAAAATGAGGACTCAGCTTGTTGGGGGCAAGAGGCTGACTCTGCAAACTGCTTAGAGAGGTCCGGAAAGCACTGTGAAGCGGTATATAAGCCTAAGTGCTATTGCTACAGAACAGGGAAAACCTCTAGAAACCTTGTTTACATTTGACAAGCCAAGTTCCTTTTTATTTTTTTTTAGAGGGGGTCAAGGTGAACCTCTTTGCAAACTAGTTTCCGGGCCAACCTGCTGTTAACTACATAAAGATAAATCACCTAACAGATGGTCTTTTCCATTTTTCATCATTATAGTCTGGAAGAGCCCCAAGGATGACTGGCTCTCTTAAACGTCTTGGAGGCTTTCAAAACAACAACAACAACAAAAATACATATCCAGAGCTTCTGCTTCCATCTTGGCATCTGACGGTCCCAATTCTGCCTTCCTGATTTCCAGCCCAGTCCTAAACAAGCTGGCAATTCTATAGAAACCCTGCAAAGGCAGACACGTTGTTTATTTTCCCCAAGTTCTAGAGTAGTTAATTTCCATCGCAATAATACACTTGAGCTAATTTGCCAAAGACTCAGCAGTCAACTCCAATTTTTCAACCTTAATTAAAGCTGGATTCACATCAGCTTCGGCTCTTTCCCTTCACAAGCCTGCTTGACAGTTATCATGAATTGTGTCTTGGCACAAACTCGGTTAGGGATTAGATAAAGCTCTTTCTTTTCTTCCTAACTCAAGTAGACCACTTAGAAACTTCCCAGGAGATATTAGAATCAAGAAACACGTTGCCAATGTAGTTTTTTTTCCCCCACCCCCTGGCAGGACAGATTTAGAATAGAATAGTGCTGGAAGGGACCTTGGAGGTCTTCTAGTCCAGCCCCCTGCTCAAGCAGGAGAACCTATACCATCTCAGGCAAGTGACTGTCCAGTCGCTTCTTAAAAACCTCCAGTGATGAAGCGCCCATGATTTCTGGAAGCAAGCTGTTCCACCGGTTAATTATCCTCACTGTTAGGAAGTTTCCCTTTAATTCCTGGTTGCTTCTCTCTTTGATCAGTTTCCAATCATTGTTTCTTATCCTGCCCTCTGGTGCTTTGGAGAATAATTTGATCTCCTCTTCTTTGGGGGGCAGCGGCCCCTCAAATACTGGGATACTGATATCATGTCACCCCTTAATTCTCCTTTTCTTTAGACTAGCCAGACCCCAAACCTGCAGACGTTCTTCAAATGGTTTAGTCTCCAGGCCTTTGATCATCTTAGCTGCTCTTCCGAGATGTCCACCAGAGGCATTTCAGATACAACCAAATGTTCCTTAACAAAAAGGCACCATGTTATCTCCTACATCCCATTAGACGTGTCGACACCGGCAGCCGAGACATCTCCCATGTGGCTTTATATCGATCCTGCCTCTTTTCATTGCAACATCTGAAGAAAGTATTTTTTCCCAGTGAGATTTCCACTAAGTAGAGAGGAGAGTTGCAATTCTCCTTGTAGAGGCGGACACTATAGGCTATTTCCACTACGGGATGGATAGGATAAAGGGGGTCCTCGAGTTACTACCACATTTGAGCCCAATATTTCTGTTGTTAAGTGAGACATTGGCTCAGTGAGTTTCCTTGTAAAAGGTAAAGTAATAGTTCCTCTCGCACATAATACATGCTAGTCATTTCTGGCTCTAGGAGGCGGTGCTCATCTCCGTTACAAAGCCAAAGAGCCAGCGCTGTCCGAAGACGTCTCCGTGGTCATGTGGCCGGCATGACTAAATGCCAAAGGTGCATGGAACACTGTGACCTTCCCACCAAAGGGAAGGTCCCTATTTTTCTACTTGCATTTTTACGTGCTTTCGAACTGCTAGGTTGGCAGAAGCTGGGAAAAGGAACGAAAATTCACTCCATTACGTGGTGCTAGGGATTCGAACCGCTAAACTGCTGACCTTTCTGATCGACAATCTTAGCGTCTTAGCCAGTGAGCCACCGGGTCCCTCTTCACTAGACTAGACATGCCTAATTCCTGCAACCGTTCTTCATACGTATCTGTCAGAAATGGTGTAGCGTCTCCTGCTTGGGTGGGGGGGTTGGACTAGATGACCTACAAGGTCCCTTCTGACTCTGTTAATCTGAATGTATCTAAGATGATCAAAGGCCTGGAAACTAAAATTATATATATGAAAGCATGAATAGATGACTCCACCAGACTGTCAATTATCTGGAAGCCTGCACTCTCAAACAAAAAAATATCCACACCATAAGCCAGGCAAACACCTGGGCACAAACAGACTCCTCCTGATACCTCCAGCTCAAACACACACCAACCAGGCACCCAGACGAAACTTAGCTTCCTAATAAATGATAGCCGTCCATTTACTCGGAGCCAAGCTGCACTAAAAGCCTCCAATACAGGAAACACAATGTTGCCAGCCAATCAAGACAAAAAAAGCCACAAAACAGACAGAAGATATTAGAAACACCAATCAAGCAGAACACAGTAAACTCCAAGACCAATAAACACAGACCAAGACTCCCAACCAATTAGGATGAAGAAAAAACCATTCTGGCACAGCAGTAGGCTAGCACCAAATTTAAAACAGAAACGGCTGTGAAAGTCTGACTCACAGACGAACACAATACAGAAGCCTGATGATGGCAGATGAGATTCTGCCGAAACGTTGCTATAACTTTAAAAGCACAACTATAATGACATGGGAAAATACCCGAACAAAGCTGAATACCATACATGTAAGTACCCGCGAAAACTTAAGAAAACAAATATATAATAATAATAATAATAATAATAATAATAATAATAATAATAATAATATAATGAACGGTTGCAGGAACTGGGCATAGCTGGTCTAAGGGAAGAGGAGGACCAGGGGAGACAGGATAGAAGTCTTTCAATATCTGAGGGGCTGCCACAGAGAGAATGAGGGGGGTCAAGCTATTTTCCAAAGCACCTGAAGGCCAGACATGGAATAATGGATGGAAACTGAACAAGGAGAGATTCAACCTGAAAATAAAGAGACATTTCCTGACAGTCAGATCAATCAATGGAACAGAAGTTGCCTTTGGAAGTTGTGGAAGCTTCACCACTGGAGGCTTTCAAGAAGTGGCTGGACTGTCCTCTGTCAGAAATGGTGTAGGGTCTCCTGCTTGGGTGGGGTGGGGGGTTGGACTAAATGACCTACAAGGACCCTTCCAACTCTGTTAATCTGTAAAAACACTGCAGTTCTAAAACTGGGATGCACCATCATGAAACTCCGTGGGGCTTTAGTGAAATAGGGATCATGATTTAACAAGGAGAAGGCCTGGAAAACGGTGTCCCCAGATGGCTGGGGAAAGGACAGAATATCCCACAGTTACGTAAATATTTCCATTGCGGTTTTTTTCCAAGCAATGTCAAGAAGGTTCTGGATTCAAAAAAGAAGCATTTAAAATTCTGGTGTGGGTTTGGGGATGTCTGTTTCCAATCCAAATCCTGCATAGGGGACATTGTGCTGAGTTCCTTTTGCATTGCCCCCCCCCCCCCCACAGACACACATTTGCTCCTTCTAAGGACGATGCTTCTCCTGGAGCCCGACGCAAATCCCACCTCTAACCCTTCTCTTCCTTTGCGCAGAGCTGTCCATCAAGAGTCATCATCCTGCCCCATCTAAAACAATCCCTGAACAGCTGCCACTGTCAATTATTCTCTCTGACAGCCTTGCCGAACAGGAAAAGAACTGGAGCGAGCACTTGCCAGTTTTAATAAACTGTGCGGCTAAAATCATTTAACCTGCTAGATTGCAGTCGGTGGGGCTGTAACAAGCCACGGAGCCTTGGGAAGGGACAGAAGAACAGAGTTGGAAGGGACCCGGGAGGTCCTCTAGTCCAGTGGTCCCCAACC